GGGTTTAGGAGCAGGTAGGGGGCTGGAACAGAAAAGGGAAGCTGCTATGTATGGGGTGATACCGGGGGATTATGTCGGGATATTAGGAAGATCACGCAGAAAATGGGTTTGTGGACGGGCTTATTGGCATAGTGAGTAGGGAAGCCTGAATAATTCCTAATGCCACTTGGAGATCTGTTTGAGGCACCCCATACTAGAATTACGTAAGAAACCTGGGATCAACATTTTGCTAATCATTCAGGTTACCCTTCAGAAATCTACAGGGCCCAGTTTGAGAAACACCCAACTGCCAACCCACCCCAAGGACCCCCCCCTCACAGGCGGAGACCCTCTTCCCTCCTGGAGACTATTCTGAGAGCCTCGGGGGTGGGCTCCTTGAGGGGGAGATTGGCGATAACTCTGATGATTTCAAAGTAATCTTCTTTCAGGGGACTACGCAGATCATGTGCGTCCAGGGTTAAGGGCCCCGCCAGTTGAGGGTTGGGGACAGATGATCTGCCGTCGGGCCCGGCAAGGGAGTATAGACGAGGATTGTGCAGGTCGTCCCGCTGGGCTTGAGAGGGGTTTGAGATGTGATCTTTGCACGTTCGGGGTCGGATTTAGGGTTGAGGGTTAAGGGGTCTTACAGATTGGTGCAGGACGTCTCTCAAGATTCAAATTCGGGAGGACAGGATTTTCTAAGGCTTGTTGGGCTGTCTAGTTCAAGGGCTTCTGAGAGGATCCCCTGACATACTGGTGCATTCTATTCGATGGCACATGTAATGATGACCACCATCGTCTTCAGCATCATCAAGCCACATTAGGATTGATGGTTCTTTTGAGACCTGCCTGAGTAATTTAGGGATTGTAATGCCATCTCCCAGAAGTACACCCCCAAGGGTTTAAGGAGCCAATACGGAGGCTAAAGGGTTTAATACGAGGATAGTATTGTGACTGTAAACCGTAAACCCCCAACGCTAAATCCGAAACCCTGAGCGCCCTAAACCCGTAACTTGCCGAGTGGCAAGATGGAGTCTTCGAACAGTTTAGGAAGCTCACGTTGGACGTGTTCAGCCCCACAATGGCCGCGTCGATCCGCACCGACTCATCAGCGATGTGTACGGCGTTCGCACTGAAGGCACCTACAACCCCAAACCCTGAATCCTAAACCACCTTGGAAGTGATGCGAAATGTCGAGAAGTCAGTGACTCGGCTATTGTTTGGGAGGGGAGGAGGAAGGCCAAGGCCAATGGGCTTATATAGGGATAATGGAAACTACTACTTAGGGTTCAGGGTTTTGTCGCCCTGAATGTGGACTTGGGTGGTCAGACGATAAATAGGATCGACAGTTGTCACGGGGACCTATCACTAAAATAGCCTGCACCCACTAGGTTACAAGCACCTGTCATGTTAGTGCCTAGCGAATCAGAATGCGGGCTTGGGGTAGTTGGCACTATACTTATACCTGGGGCTTGAAAGGAAATACGATGGTAATTAATCACGGTTCTGCAGTATAAAAGGCTTAACTGCACCTGCCAACAGACGATCATGCCAAACTCAAGCGTGCGTAGCCAAAAACGATCTGAAGGCAAAGCAGCAAAAGCAGCACGTACTTCTACATCTACCATGAAAACATAAAAGTTCTACGGACTCATCTATCAGAGTTGCCAGCTGAAACGGATACCAACGGGTCGAAGCGTGCTTGACAGATCTCAGATATCACCAACTGAGACAGCTACGAGTAACATGCCGGCATGCCTTGAAGAGTCCAGCTTAGTACTTTTCTGGGTCGCACGTCGAAGGCCCCCAAAATCATGTATGAGCAGGATCCAGTATTCAACAATTGGGAAAATCATTAACTATGCCAAAGTGCCACCTAGTTCATGCTTGGTTCAACCTGTACACAAGCCACTTCAGGTGCAGCTCCGCTCTGAGACCCATCGGAGAGCTTAGCTGGTGGACGATGGGATGGAATGTAGACCCCTGCTTAGTACACCCCCTTTTTGGGTTTCGGGTTTATATGTGGGTTATATAGGGATAATGGAAAAGAAAATGGAAGCTACTATTTGGGGTTTAGGGACTCATGATTAAGAACCCCCCTCCTTTTAAGGGTATTAGGATCCCTATTATAATCCCTGCCAAGGGGAAGGGGTTGATTAATCAGGGGTCTATATGCATGATCACCTAAATCCCTAAACCCTAAATTATGATCACAACTTCAGCAATGCAGGCCTCGCACGTAGGCCAAGTTCCCAAGCACCTGCCAGGTCTGTGCAAAGCTTTACTCAGCTTTTGGTTTAGGGTTTACCTAAACCCCAAAAGTATGTAAAAATAATAGCCCTAAACCCATGATTATAGCCATAAAGGCAATTATTTCACATACTGTTGGGGCCCAGGTAGTGGTTAGGTTTTAGGGTTTGGGTTTAGGGACTCCAAGCCAAGTGGCGCCATTGTCTTTGAAGTCAAGGGGTTCTCAAATTGACCGCAGCAACCTTCAGCAATCCCCACATTACCTTTCTTTAGTGGTAGAATATGATATCACTAATTATGCCCTAAAACCCTCTTCTAGTAAGCTAGTCTCCCAATCCCTTAGACTTTCCTTGCCTGGCTGGCTGAGTGGTTGAGCTCAAAGGTGTCCAAGGCAACCACACCGCGGCCGATGGTGGCCAGGCACCCACCTCGCAGTTTGCAGCGTCATCATTTGTTTACAGGGTTGCTGTTAAGGAATTAAAGTAAGTTCGCATAATATGGGACTATAGTATAGTAAGTAGTAGGGTTTCCTTATTCTAGTGACTTAAATTCCCTGACAGCAGCCCAGATACTTGCTAGGGGACATTTCCCTGAGGATCCAAGTATCCAAAGAACACCCCAAATTGGGCCCTCTATTCTGTAAATATTACCTACATTGGGCTATTTGGGTCCCAAGGGCCAGGTATTGAATCTTCCCCAAAATTTGCCCTGATTGTAGAATGGCATCATCTTGGGAGTGTTTGCTCTTATAGGGATAGACTAGGAACCCAGGGGTTGATTGTAGACAGCAGGACAATGTCGCCTTTTGTGAAGGGGTAGAGCCAAAATTTCAGAAAGGAATGCTCCGATGCATATGTACAAAACCACTGCACGAGATAGTCAAAAATTGATATTCCTCTTTCATTATTCATCCCCTACATAACCCACCTTTAAAAAGTTAAAGCTCTAGCTCGCATGACTCACAGACCCAGGCAACGCGCATGCAACGCACGGGCATGCCAAAGCACGTCTGAGGGCATGGCCCATCAATGCATAGGTATCCGCGCAGCGGATGACACCGCGAGACCGGATGCCTGGGAAACGTCAGCGTCAACGTGGGCTGAATTGGCTGTGCAAGGGGTTGTCCTGCCAGGACAGATCTAACCCTATAACACCCTATAAGCCCTATAAAACTCTATGAAACCCTCCAAAACCCCATAAAAGCCTATAGAACCCTATAGAGCCTTTTAAAACCTTTTATAACCCTAACTATATAACCCTGAATAGCCCTAATTATCTCCGGCCTCAGGCTGACTAGCTGTGCCCCTTCGCTCCTTTTTGAGAGACTGCGCCCACTGTGGCATATGGGGATTTCTTAAAATTACGGGTACCTTTGAAGGGGATGTAGGGTATATGTAGGGGTTATATAGAAGGGTTTAGGTTTAGGGATTAAGGCTCAGGGAAAGTTAGGGGTACCAGTTTTGGGAGTCCCCATAATATTCAAGCCTATAGTATGTTGGGGTCTATATTCGGGTCCATCTATTTAGGGAAGCCACCATATCTCTCACAGTCCCCCCGCCTGAGTGGGCAATCAGGCCGCCCGTCCATGTCGCCCCAAAAGCTGACACATAACTACTACAAGTTCCTAAACAAACACCAACATCAATATCAATTCGAGGTCTATTTGAAGTACCCTATGCTATAATTTGCAGGGAACTTAGGACCAGAATTTTGGCAATCATTTAAGCCCCTACATAACCCTAAACCCTACCTTAGACCCCAAAGAACTTCAGTTCTAGGATGTCATATAAAGAATTGTACAATAGGGTCCTAAAACTGAAGTTCTTCAGGGTCTAAGGTAAACCCTACCCTTGAAGGTTCCTGGTTTCAACCTCTACCTGACAGACAAGCGACTCTCTTCCCTGGCTTGCGGGGACACCTGGGTCTGGCTGAGAGACAAAATTCCGAACACAGTGTTTAAGATTTAGGGTTTAGGATTTAGGTTTGGGGCTCTAGGGGTTTAGTGTCTCGGGGTTTGGGATTTGGATTGCGACGGAGTACTTAACAATTGGGGAAAGCTGAGGTTTTCCAATTGTTCCTGTCCACACCGGGTTGAAAAAGGGCAAAAATGGGACTCTTAAACTATTCCTCGCTGGGTTTTCACATCTACAGAGTAACCCTGAACCCTATGTAACCCTATAAAACCCTATATAACCCTAAAAAAACCCTACAGAACCTTCTCAACACCTATGGAACCCTATACAACCGTATATCACCCTAAACAACCATAAATTACCCAACACAAATCTTCCTGAAAGCCGATCCAGGCACCATGATGGCGCCGCCCAACTTTTGCGACTCGCAGTGCTCAAAAGATAGCAGGCCACCCTCCTTCAAGCCAACCAGAGGTTGAGGGCTTATGGGGGTCTAAGGTGTTAGGGGTTGAGGGGTTTGGGGCTTGGGGTTTTGGGGTTAGGGGTTAAGGGTTCTAGGTATTTTGGGGCTTGGCATCTACCTGAACCTGCCACATGCCCATAAGAGTAGCCTGTTTACGCATATCTCTATATATGCCCGTCATGTTGGGGTTAGAGGCGATTGTTATGGATCTTTGGGAATCATGAATAGGGTCCAACAAGAAAAACCAACAATGAACCTGAAATTGGGTTCACTACAGGCTTCTAGACTAGTTTGGAGGTACAGCGAGCACAGCAAGGCTCCCCACGCAGCAAACCCTTTCGCACGCCACCTTTAAAGTGCCACCCAAGACACGCCCAGGGTCCTGCTCCCCCCCCACCCATTGACAGTCTATACCATCCATGTTGAAGGCTCTATATATTCGATCATCTTATATCATCCAACTGTTAATGAGTGGGGACAGTACCCACTCTGGTCCTTCCCCACAAATAACCTACTTGTGCTTGAGGGGCAGCGGATCCCCATAAGAAACCCTGTATAATCTCCAACGTATACCACCGTGAGAATATAATATAATCCCCCTTAAGCAGATGGAATATGGGGTATATGGGGATCTCATTATAATATACTCAAAGCCATATTCTATCTACTTAAGGGTACTATACCTCTTTCTTAGCCCCTCAGCACGTATCTAACTCATCCGTACAGATCTCTGAGTCCAAATGATAATAATGTCGGGATACTGGAAAAAAGAATATTATGGAAGCTTTAGGGAATATGAGGAATATAAAGAGTGTATATAGGGATAAAGGATAAGAAAAAGGAAACTACTATTTACGGTTTACGGCTTGGGGTGATCAGAATACTGTCACAATGTTCAATTTACCTGCCATTGCTATTGTCAGCATTCCATGATCATCACAATGTGGAGGTCATGACACCTGTCACAACGCTTAGCAATTGTGATTTTACCTTCTCATGATCCGTGTCACTACTGTCCAGGGTCGCCCCCTTCCATTTAAATTTAAGATTGCCAGGGCAATACTAGGTTCCCCAGCAACCCCATAATAATAAGGGCACCCTCCTTCCTGATGTTCAGCTTTAACAGGGAGACCCCAAAAAGAAAAAGGGGAAAAGGGTACTACTGGGGTATTTAGATACAAAACAGGCTAGGCTGGCACCTGGTGGACGCCCTTGGCTGTCGAAATAGCACCGCCGTTCTTGCGGGATGTGGAGTTCAAAAAGTTCATAGTACCTTTCTCCTGGCATGGGCGTTTCAGCGCTTCCACACATGAAGACCGCCCAAAGTTCTAGCTTAACCATGATGTCTATTCCTTGCGCTGGGGGGGGATAAATGGAAGGGGGGGGTGGGGGAGGCGTGTCAAGGGTTAGGATTTTGGGTTTAGGGAAGCAAGATGTCATGATTCTTTTTAGTCTTTTACGTCAGCTCCTTGCTTCTTGGCGGGCACGACCTTTCCTCAAAGATGCCTTTCGCTGTGCGCTAGAAAATTGACCAACTAATTTATCATAAGCCACAAGAAATCGTGCACCCGTCTCCTGACATGGTGCAAGCCTGCATACCACAACCACTATAGGGGCGATCATGATGTCAGTGCTGAGCTTAACAGAACTCAACTACGGTTTGTAGATCGTGGGCCTGTTCTTGGGTCCTCGTCACATGCCCAGACGAAGCCAAGATTCCGGAGTTCTCCAAGGAACAAGACCGCAAGCCACGGGAAACAACAGAGGAGTCTGGATCAATCTGCGGGCACTGAACGCTTAAACCTACTTGAAGGTTCATGGGTAGTGATAAGGGGCAACGAAAAATACTTGGTACTCGGAATTCGGTTGCGGGTACAACTGTCCGAGGTGAAACCCCAACCAGAATTGCACGAACTGCCAAGTGCCAAAGAAGCGCCTGGATCAATCTGCGAACGTAGATGCTGCCACCCCACACCGCCTTCCAGGGGCGTGTGCATGTGTACTCATGTTTGCAACGGCGTTCGTTGATCGCGGCAAAGCAACACATACAGTGTAGTGGAACTAGCTGAATAACACCCGCGGTTTCAGCATCATCGTGCACCAGCTGTACCGAGCGACCCTAATGAGTCGCATCACATGATTGCACTTAAGAGCCGTCGAGAGTCGAGGGAATGGTTCAGATGACAACATGGCCATGGCAAGTATCCGCACCATACCGGTGGGACCGCAGCGGTTTGGTTCGCATACCACGACGGCACACATTGCTTGGTGCGTGGGATGGTGGGTTGATGTACAAACAGCACGGAACCTCAAAGACGACTGAATTTGGAAAGCGAAAATCACGGAATGAAGGATAACATCACCAGCATAATACGATTGCAAGATTTTGGCCTCTGCCCAGATCCTATCTACACCTAGAACCCTTAACCCACGGCTCCATCAAAACCGCGCAGGTATGGGACCTACATGGACCTGAGGAGACCACCGACCCAAAGCCCTAATCTCTACCTGGACCCCAAAAGTATGTAAAATAATGGCCGTTATGGCTATTGTTGTGGGTTTAGGGCTATTATTTTACATACTTTTGAGGCTTAGGTAAACCCTAAACTCTAAACCCAAAGCCTGGTCTAGTGACTCAGGTTTCCACAGTAGACAACACAGAAACCTCAATCTCTTGAGAATAATCCAAGATGACAATAACAGTAACATAATCTGAGAGTAACGTAACCCATTTTTACCAGCAGGTTATTATTCATACAGGAAAAATCATGAGCCTAGCACCTCCTCCTACCCTCTATTAGGGCCTAAGTACCCACCATTAGGGACCATATTCCCCCAATTAAGGGTACAAGGAAAGTCCTGTACCCTAAACCCTAAACCCTAAGCCCTAAGCGAAAGCGTGCTTTGCCTTGCTGTAGCGGAAGGTCATGACACCGCCCCGCTGCCTGGCGCCAGGGGCAGGACTCAGAAAGGGGCCTACACGAGCTTTCGTCTGAACTCCTAGAATCTCCCTTAATAACCCTACAGTAGTCCCCATATAATTCCCTATACAACCCTCGTAGAACCCTTATAGTAGTCCCCTATATAATTCCCTATATAACCTGCCTTTAAGGAGTTCAGACTGCAGCCCACATGGCGTGTTATCTGCGACAGCTCTGACTGCGAATCTGCCTTCACTGCGTGTGGACGTGTCCACGAGTTGACTTGATGTAAGCAAGGCTCCATGCTCGAGTAGCAGTTTCACTATTTCTGTAACGCTGTCATCGCCACTGTGGCTGCTACCTATAATGGTTGCAATATCCGTTTGCGACCTAATTGGGTTAATCGCTGCTCTTTTTTGCTGTTGGCAGGGCTGTTGTCATGAAGCCAGGTCATCATCGTTGGATATAGTTTGTACCCACTATTACAGTACTGTCAATGACGTTGGGCTACCGGTGCGATGCTCATCAATCTTCCGGATCGTTAGCTCTGCGGCCCACGGTTCCAAGGACGTAGCAGATTCCATAAACATCCGTAAACAAGGGGTCCACGTATACACCCGTATGCTATCTATAAACTCTATAAACCCCTGATGCTGCACCCCCCCAAATTCTCAGAAACCCCAATGGTCAGGCACTCTAATGTGTTCGGTTTCCACCTCAGAGCGTCCGACAAATAGATGTCCCCCTCATAACCCAACCTCGAGCATCCTCCGAAAAGAGCCCCACCCCAAAACGAAGCAGGAAGGCATTATGGTACCTCAAGATGGTATCCTCTGCGAAGATGGCGCCTGCCAAGCTGAGCAGTGACATGTTGACGGTAAGACCGACATGAGATTGCGCATCTAATCAGGAATCAGGGTTCATGGTATTTTAGGGCCTAGGGCCTAGGGTTGAGGGCGAAAGCACTCTGCCGCCAACTCTTACTCAGGCCTGTCCCGCGAATCGGACATCAAAATGGCACTTGGAACAACTCTTAGGATTTTGGGAGCCCCGACTTTCAGATTTTTGCGAGTAGGGTGTCCCTAAGCAACTACCTAGACCCTCCTCCTACCCTCTATTAGGGCCTAAGTACCCACTATTGGGGACCATACATCCCCAATTAAGGGTACAAGGAAGGTCCTGGTAAACACTTAGGCCTAAATCCCATGAAGTGACGCACAGAAAAAACTTTCGGGCTCTGGACCTCCCTTCGATCCACTGCGGCAATGTTCGAAAAGCATCTCCTTTGAGCAGTTGCAATCGCATGGTGTATAGATGTGCATAGGTTGAGGGCTCAAAGTTTTGAGGCTAGCGTGTCCAGTGTGTAGGCTTTCGCGTGTTCTGAAGTTAAGGTCGCCCTAGGTGCCCCCAGGATGAAATGATGATTTTGAGAAAAGGGGTCTGGTTAGGCGTTCAAAAAGTGGATGGGCCTTGCTCTGCAGAGCACCCACTGTGGTACCGGATGACTGTATGATTGCGCATTAGAGATTCAAACAGGCCAAAACAGTCATGTGCCTGATGAGGGTAAACGGTGGCCACTGCGGGTGTGATCGAATGGTCAGCGATTCCGCTATGCCCCTTCTTGGGTAGTGAAGCCGCGGTAGATACGGCTCGGTATGAAACTTATAGTTGGTGGGTGTTTGCTTCAGCAAGTAAAAGGATGAGCATATATAATAGTAATACTTACTCGTAATGAAAATAGTCTGCAGAAAAATGGAGAACCACATGGAAAATGGTAGATGAAAAGAATCCGGTAGCCACGGCAGACCCTGTTCAGGATAGGGTAGAGGGTTTCTGGCTGATTTGGCCAGCTTGATGTGATACTGATTCGCAGATATGGCAGTTTCCATGTCATTCCCTAAACCCTAAACCACGCGCTGATTCTCCATGATCCCTGTATGTCATAATCATTTCTACCCAGACCCTCCTATGTAGTTCCTTCTTGGGTACTATATTAGAACAAATCCCTTTAAACAAGCATAACAAACCCAAACAGTGACCATATAGGAGGCCTTGGGTAGGATTATGAGTGGCATGACTATTGCATGAAAAGCCCCGGGTAGTTCGAGCCGAGAGTGGCACCGGCTCAGCAGTATGGATGCATGCATACTTGGAACGTCGGGGGGACTTAGTAAGTAGCTTAACCAAGACTGGGGCTAGCTAGGGTTACTGTAGGAATTATGGGGTTTATCAAGCAACTTACGAAGTCCGTGACCCTCCAAGTATCTGAGCTATCCCCTCCGACCACTTCCAATCCCGCCCCAGGCTAGCTGACTACTTTTGAATATTGCCAGCAGCTATCTGCCTGAGCTTTGCCTGTGCCAAGAATCAAGGAAAACCTTCTGCATGAGCCGTAGTCTAAACTCCTAATATCTCCCTTAATAACCCCTGTAGCTCCCGTATAAAGCCGCCTTTTGAGGAGTTTAGACTATGGCTAAAATCCCTTCAGGGCCATGGGTTTCGCTGAGCCGCGGTGTCGTTGCTGTCGAAGCCGCCCTTGAGGATGTGAATGCCAGCGCCAGAGCTTGTGGCCCAGCAGTTTTTGATAGTGACGCGGCTGCCTCCATACCGATTCATGGTATGGGGGTGATTCAGTTTTTGCAGGATTTCACGCTGGTACTCAGAATATCTCAGACTGATGCTGATGACGCTGGTGACCAGGTTCAGCAAGCTCTCATCAACACCCTCTCCTTATGGATTTCTCAATTCATGTACAACCTTATCCTTCTTGCTTGTTCCGTGTTGTTTTGTCATTGCTTGGGCCAGTACAGGTTGTCAGTTGAATCTTGTCGCTTTTTCATTCATACTTGAACTTGAACGGTGAATCGAGAAACAGGACCAATAGGATCGCTCGGTACACGGCTCCACGAACGGGGATTCGACAGGAACTCACGTACTTCACCAGTGGTCAACTTCACAATGGCAGAGTGCAGAAAGGAATGCACGCGCCGACTGCTGCCTTACTACCATAGCCCACTGACAGCTTCATAAAACGCCATAAGTATCCCAAGAATCCCTGTCCTGGGACAACAACCTTCCAAAAGCTGATAACTTGAACATAGCTTCCTGGAAAAAACTGCAGACATAGGGCCTTAGATCCTAAACCCTAAACCTCCCTTGACAAAGCGCGCCTAACGTCCTGAAGCTCGTCGTGTCTTTCCGCACGGCGGGCGCGTGAAGGCTTAGTGCCACGCCTACTGCTTGCTTACCCTAGGTCTCCTTCTTGAAAACGGAGGGTTCCATGCAGTAGTTTCCCTAAATAGGGGGACCCCAAAATACCATTATCCTTATCATACGGACCCTCAAAAGGTACCCCTACTTCTTGGAAACCCTCATGTAAGCATTATTCAGAGACTTTGAGCCCCAGGGTTCATGTTTGGAGCTTAAAGCTTAAAGGCTTAAAGCTGATTGTTTGTTAAGGTTGAAAGACTTAAACCTCAGGCCCTAAAGCCTACAGGATTATCAAGGTTTGGGGCTGATAGTCCTCGGAAGAACAGTAGAAGGTTATAAGGGTTTAGGGTTTAGGCTGGAAAAGGGCCATTTGAATGTGGGTATATGAGAGCTATAGGGCCTATAGGGATGTACAAGGGGTATAGGGGGTACTACCAGCATGAAGAATCAAATGGAAAGCGGAAGGGAACATCAAATGGAAATTCGGTTTATAAAGAAGGTCACGCAATGTGATTTTAAGGTCTACTCGACGTATCCTATACTGAAGCTATACACCGAATGCAAGACCATGATGTTGCTAGTCACTTCGGCTTCAAAGGTAGGGTTTTAGAGGTTCGGGAGGGTTGGGGCTTGCGGGCTCAGGGGTTTCGGGCTTGAGTCGTCTCGTAATGCTGGATGTTCCCGATGAATAGCGCCATCTTAGGTTAGGCCACCAGCCAGTAATGATGGTAGACCAGCAAAAAGAGCCTGTACATATGCATATATATATATAGAACTTAGTATCATAACAACCATCCTGCGGTGGTCACTAGTAGTGCGTGGGGGCTTTACCTAAGTGCCATAATAGTAGAGCACGTGGCAGGTGGCTGGGCGGGGCATTATCAAGAGGGGCACTGTTTAATCTCAGTCTTTCAGTTAAGACGGACACGGTCTCGCTGGCCTGAATTTGTGGAGAGAGCGGTTCTCTGGGGCAAGAGAGATTGCAACCATCATCATCGTAATGGTACCACCATGTTAGTAGCAACACTGACTCACCATTGCACTGACCATGACAGCAGCAATCAATTCTTAGAACCGCCACCAAAAGATAGGCAAATATTAGAAGGATCATGGGGGACCCTATAGTAGTGGTTGGGTACTTCCCCCCCCCCCCCAGTAACAGCCTATATTAGGGGTCCTATTAAGGGCTATATATAATAACCATATTATAATTATTATCCAACTGTTTCTGAGGGGGGGCAGTACCCAAAGTACTGGTAATGCGAGTATACGAGGACCCTAATATAAGCACCCCATCCCTCATAGTCACTATTACTGGGAGGGGGGTCCACCTAAGGCAAACATGTTAAGGCCCCCTTATCCCTAGTACAATGCTATTACTGGGTGTCAGGCATGAGCTAAGGTTCAGGCTTAGAAGTCACAGCCCCCCCAAAAACCCTAAACCCAAAGCCATCAAACCCCTAAAGCCTAAACCCAAAACCCTAAGCCCTAAACCCAAAGCCCTTACCCTAAACCCAAAGCCCTTACCCTAAACCCTAAACCCCTATCCTACCAAAGCCGGTATTGCCGGATACCTCGAGACTGTGCTTCAGCAGCTGTTTTGGGCGCGCCTGCAGCAGATTTGATGGTTTCCCAAAATAGAGGGACCCCAATATAGACCCCAAAATACTATTATCCTTATTATGGGGACCCCCAAAATGGTATCCCTAATTGTGGGAAAGCCCTATTTGTGAGTCTCCTCAAAATAAACTTCCCCAGAAACCCTAGCACTATATTGGGATTGTAAGGGGGTTAGGGTTTAGTTGTTTTAGGATTTGGGGTTCTAGGGTTTAGGGTTATATAGGGATTGTAACTAGATTCTGGGGTAGGGATTACTATATACCCACAGTGTGGTAACTTAATTCAAGTTCCTTAACAGCAACCTAGTAACTCTACTGGTGCTCATAGTAGCTGCATCACCAGATAATGTGGTGGTGCCATGGTCTGAGGCTCGGGATAGGCCCCAAACCCAACACCGCCCTGTGTGAAACCCCAAGGCACAAAACCTCAAAACCCGCAAACCCCAGTATAGACCCCAATATACTATACTCCTTATTATAGGGACCCCCAAAAAAGGTACCCCTAATCTTAGGAAACCCCCACATTGAAAGCCCACAAAACTCCCAAAGCCTAGACTTCCCCTCAAAAGCTGCAAAGGATCCTGCCTTTGCCTCCTTTGCCAACCCTTGGCGAATAGGATGCCCGTTCCTTTCGCCGAGTGGGGTAGGGCATGGGGCGCCCCCTATTTGGGATATGTGTATATATATATATATATGTATGCGCTTATATAAGGATTATGCAACTATTTGTAGGTATCTCATGGGGATTATATAGGTTTTGCGTAGGGCTTTCCCAACAGCCATGCCGCCGAGTAGGGTAGGAATTTTGCTTCAGGTTTTGGATCAGTGTAGGCTTTGGAGAGTTCAGGCTATGCAGGGGTTCAGGTAGGGCAGCATTGCGCTCAATGTGCCCTGCCCAGAACCCACCCTAAACCCCTAAACCCTAAACCCCTAAACCCTGAACCCCCAAACACCTAAAACCCCCAAAACCCTAAACCCCTAAAACCCTATACCCTTAAACGCTAAACCCCTCAAACCCTAAACCCCTACACCCGAAAAGTCAGAAACTTTGGGGCAGGAACCCCAGGATGAATGGGATTCGGCAAGTCGTGGGTCAGCATCAGCCCATCCTCCAGTAGATCGAAGCCCAAGAAATTCTAAGCACCATGTCCACGACCCCGCAGGATGAACCTACTTCTGACAATATTCCCATAGAACCCTATACAACACCATAGCCAAATATAACTATAATCCTACATAACCTCTACCCTAAACCTAAAACCTACATATCAAAACCTAGACCCTGAACCTTAAACTGCTGGCTATATGTGCAAGGCCCGCCTGCAGTGTGGATCCGGATCCGGGCCTGGTCTGCCGCCATTCGGGCACTCTGTGCCCAAGATACATACCTCCTGTGGAGGTTGAGGGCTTAGGGTTACAGAGTTTAGGATTATAGGGCTCAGGGTTTAGAATTTAGCGGTTTAGGGCTTTGGCTGAGGACCCTATCTTCCCCATCAGTCAGATCCCGTTTCAAATCGTCTTCTAGATGTTCCGATGTTCTTCGAAGCGGTAAGTGAGCGAGCACGAAACAAGAATTCTGCTCCTGTCTGCAGCTCAGGCAATAAAGTTCCTGCCATATTCTACACTGATTGTGGGCTTTTGAATGGACGAAGTCAAAACAAGTGAGGTGCCATGGTGGGCCAACTGGGAGACGCTAGCATGGACACAAAAGGAGCTAGTGCAAGAAACACGAACAAAAGTGTTGCCGTTTTTCATACTGTGACATGGTGTTCGGAACCTGCATCTTAATTCAGGCATTAGCTTCATATAGCAGCCTACGTCAGGCACCTACATAGAATACTACGTCGGAGTACCTGCATCTGAAACGGCCGACACTTTAGTGAACGTTTGCTGAGTAAACATAGAGGCCTTTGCACCTTTTATTGAATATGAGAGAGACAGCAATGCCCAAACTACGCACAAACATGTATGTGGGCCAAGGTGCTGCTTGGTTCTTGCTTGTGGAGATCACGGGCTACATTGTAGGTAGGCACGCTGCAGGCGCAGAAGTAGGAAATTGATGGCCTGGATGCTAAGTGTTGTCCCCCGGAATCAAGTGCGGAATGCGGTCTTCCTTTAGATGTGATAAGTGATAAATTAACTCTACATCCTAAATTGTGGATTTCACTTTTTAATTTACCATTTTACACATAATCCCCAGATAGCCCCGCTATAATCCATATCATCCTCATAAAAAAACCCCTATTTCGAAGTCTACTGTGGCATTGCAGTCATGTAGGTCTCTACAAACCTCGTCTTACAGGAGCCCGAGAACTTTGTTTTTGGAAATATTCACTCTCCTTTCCCGGCACTTGTCACTAGTCACTCCCGGAAAGACCCCTCCGCTAACTTATCCTAATCCCTACGTCCTAGACCCCAACCCCTAACCCCCAAACCCCAACCCCTAAATCCCAACCCCGAACCCCTAAACCCCAGATCCTAACTCCTAAATCCTAAACTTAAAGCCATGGGCCCGTCCTCCGAAGGCACCATGGCAACCTTGCACTTGCAGCTCCGAGTGGTTCAGCAGAACATCGCCATGAGAAGAAAAACATCCTTCAAGGTTTAGGGTTTAGGGGCTTATGGGTTTAGGATTTGGGGTTTGGGGTGTAGGATTTCGGCTTCAGGGTTTACGGCGTAGCGGTTAATAGGAGGAAAGATTCTATGGGAGTTATATACCGAGTATATTCCGTTATTCCCTGCTAACCACCAGTAAGATTTTGCTGGGTTCAGGGATTCTGGTTTGGGGTGTCAGGGGGTGTAAGGGGCTCAAAACCCAAACCCTAAAACACTATATATGTATATATATATATATATAGAGCCGAAACCCTAAACCCTAGGGGTTTGCGGATTTAGGGGTTGGGGTTTAGGGAATCATACTTTGGAATTTGGGGCTGAGGGTAGGGTTTAGGCCGAGACAGGATTTTCTCCAAAGTTTCCCTACAAAATCCTTCGGGGGGACCTCGCACATATCTTTGCAGGGTCCCTAGAGGCTTCTACTTTTCTTTTTGTGACAGCAGCTTGAGCCGCCCTGTTGTAGGGTTGGTTTGAGCTTAACTCATGTGTTCCCCTACTACCCCCCCTCTATACTACCCCCACCAAGGTTCCCCCCAATTAACCTTAACTAGCCCTTAATAACCTTAATTTAGGGGGAACCTTGGGGGGGGTGGTATAGAGGGGAGTAGCAGGGGAACCCACGATTAACGGTTCCAGGCCCAACCCCTGCTATTCAATTTTTTATCCTGGAATACATGGATGGGAATACCCAATCGTGGGATGCCTTAGAATGGGGGGGGCTAGGGTTTAGGGTTTAGGGGGGTTGAGGGTGTAGGGCTTAAGGCTGAAAAAGTTCTGTACATTGGACAAGCTGCTGAAGCACTCTGGTCTAGCTTTTCGATCCCTAGACTCGTAGTGGTGCCCCCATGAGCACCAGAGTTTAAGTGGTTGAGGATTTAAAGTTTTGGGCTTTAGTTCAGCCAGTGGTGGCTTCTGCACCCTAAGCCCTGAACACTAATAGGTAGTAGTTTCTGTGTCATTTTCCACTGTCCACGCATAACCCCAATATAAAGCATGGAATTCAGCATCCAAAACCCTTCTTCACGCACCTCCCACGTCTGCTGCGCAGTCTTGCATCACCGCGGATGAGGCCTGCTGTCTCTTTGTGATCCAAAGCACATTTGGGGTTCCAAATTAAGACTTGAGGTCCCCTTTCACAGTCCGTATGATTCTGATTGGAGTGTTCAGGATTATGTAGGGTGACCCCCACTTCTGCAAGTACGATTTTCGGTAGCATTAAGCGCATTAAAGATAATCACCGTTTTCTAGGATAAGTTACATGACATGATGTTGTTGCACGCAAGGTGGCAATTTGAGTTTTCTGTCGGGGTTCCCGCGCGCACCCAGTAGGGTTTAAACAGGTCATAATGATTTTTACCAACACTTACGAAGTGCCCACGGCCCTCAGTTCCCCGAACCCTTTTTACCCCTTATATAACTTTAACCTTGTGGAGCCTCGTACATCCGCAATCCAGCTCCAAAGAAGGCACAGCCGCCCTGAGTCAACCTGGGTACGTATAGGGTTTAGGGTCTGTGATGGTTTAGGGGTTTTGGGTTTATGTAGGGTTCTATGGGGTTATATAGGGCAGGTTATATTGGTGTCTAAGGGCCTAAATGGCTACTAAATGATACTCAATAATGGAGAATCAAACAGAAGAGAAAATTTTAGAAAAAATGGCATCTGCGTTCTTACAAGGGCATACAGGGAGTATGGAATGTAAGGGCCTCAAGAATTACAGATATCATTGTAATTAAGGCCTCGTTGAGATACGCGATACCATGATTATGGATGGGATGAGCACCATCATCATGTTGTGTTTTTGTGACCATAGGATTGGCAGCATTGGCACGCATTCAGGCTTCTACATTATCACCCAACTCAGTAAGTCCGATAAGTTGGCGCAGCTTCCCTAAAGCCTAAACCTAAACCCTAAAATCCTGAACTCTTCAAACTGCCCGAAAACCCTTAACCCTAAAATCCTGAACTCCAAACAAACACCAAAAACCTAAACCCTAAAATCTGGCCAAAGGAGCTTCATCTTGTGCTTGGTGGTTTGATTCATCAGGAAGCTGTTCTTGCTCTTGGCCACCATAAATGCCATGAACTTCCACCTGCACTGTAGGGTTTAGGGGTTTAGGGCAAGGGTTTAGGGGTTTAGGGTTTAGGGTTTAGAGGTTTAGGGGTTTAGGGTTTAGGTGTTTAGGGGCTTAGGGTTTAGGGGTTTCGGGGGTTTAGAGGTTTCGGGGGGAACAACTACTCCAGAAAGGGGTGCAATCGGAAGGATCTTTGCCTTGCTGCATCCTACAAGTACGTCCCCCCCAACCTATGAGCTCACCAGCCACCTGCTGTTCTATGGCCATGACTTCAACCAACCACCACTTGGGGTGAGGCCGTTATACTTTGTCCCGCAACAACCCCCAAAATTCCAAACCCTAAACCCATAAAACCTAAATCCCATTGACTCGAAATCCCTAAATCCTAAATCCCTAAATCCTAAATCCCTAAACCCTAAATCCCTAAATCCCCAAACCCTGAATCCCGCCTCAACCATTTCATCACCCGGCCAGCTGAGGCGTTACGAATGATGAGGTGGGATCGAAGCAGCTCGGCCCTGCCCCTGGTTTCCATAGCACCTGGCCCAAGACTTTGAGTTTTAGGGTTTTTGGGGTTTAGGGTTTTTGGGTTTTTAGGGGTTTAGGGATTTAGGGATTTAGGGTTTAGGGATTTAGGGTTTAGGGGTTTAGGGTTTTTAGGGTGTTTAGGGCTTAGGGTGTTATATAGGGATAATGGAAAATAAAATGGAAACTATTATGTTATAGGGTATATATTGGAGTTATATGGGGGTAATGGAAAATCAAATGGAAACTACTATTTAGGGTTTAGGGTTTAGAGTTTAGGGCTTAGGGGTTGAGCAGAGGCTTTATGCGCATTATACTGGGAACAAGGGGAATACACATTGAAGAACATGTTCAAACCCTACCCTGTCAGGATCACCCAAAGAAGCGGAGGCTCCAGTGCAAGGACCACAGAAATGCTAGAGTCATGACTTTACGCATAATATGTTAACTTAAGCCCTAAACCATATATACCCTCGACCCTAAACCCATCCAACACGGCATGGGGATCGTGGAATGGGAATGCGACATGCAGCGCCTCCTGTTCGCCCTTGCTCTTCCGGATACAAGGTACTGCGGCAGCCCAGAATGGTCACGGTGGCATCCTCCAGAAACAAGGGGCCTTCCGCAATCCTGATTCGCATGAGCAAGTGGGGGTTCCGAAAACTAGCGACATTAGCCCAAAGATGGGGAATCAAATGGAAAGAAGATAGAAGAATAATGGACACGGGGGACTCCAGTGTGGTTTACTACATTGTGGTTTAAAGGGATTGGGAATGGACCCTCGCGAAGTGGGGGATATTCAATGTCCATCAGCGCACCAGGCGCCTGACCTTTAACCCTGAGCCCTAAACCATAAAACCCAACCCTCAACAGCGACTCTAGCTGCTAGCTGCGGCTTCGTTTCAAGCATGCCCCATAGCTGGGCGACGAAGCTATCAAGGTCAGATTGCCTACGGCCGGGCTTGGTTGAGAACAAGAGGATCCCTCACCCACCCACTAACGTTACGCCCCCCCCCCTATTTGCCCGCACCAAATGCCAGCTCATCAGAATGTGCTGCGTGTAGCAGTGTTTTGGTGGTTGCGGATGTGGTCGCAGTGAACGTAATTACGGGTGCCGGCATGGGTTCGCTTGTTGTGCATGCGGTCGAAATGAACGTTATTATGGGTGCCGG